ATATCATATCATATCATATCATATCATATCATATCATATCATATCATATCATAATGTATTATATTGTAAGGAGGGGCAAGACAAGCTAAATTTTCTGCTTCTCTGAGCTTGTGAATAATTGCTCTAATTTTTGCCTTGTGTATGTTTGTTACTGATTCAGTAGAACGTCATGGCTCGGTCCTTTCATTTGTATAATAGCCACACAAGTTTGCAACTCTTGCTTGTCCGGAGGCGAGATAGGGAGGAGGTAGCTGGGCGCCTCCATCCAGAGTTACGGGTTCCCAGGACCGGCTCTGCCACTTGCTTGCCGTATTACTTTGGGCAAGTACTTTCAGCTCTGTGGTCCTCAGTGTGGGGGGGGTCCTCATGACTGTGGGGCCTCATCCTCTTAGTATGTGATAATAACGCGTACTCAAAGATCCCAGCCCAGTTAAGAGAAAATGTAATGTCACTTAGCTTAGGGTCACAAAAAAAATCACGAGGACTCACTGAATAGTTACGGGCCTCCCCTCTCCCCACCATTCCTGGGCATTCAGCACTCAGAAGGCTGAGGTAGGAGAGCCACGAGTTCCATGTCGAGGTGACCTAGTGAGACCCCTGAGCAACAGCAGCAGTATCAGTATCAGTGGTCACAGTAATAATGTGAATTTTATTTCTTCTCCAGTGTTTCTGTTCAGACAGAGAATTAGAGAAGTTTCTGTCTGCTCCTTCTCCCAGTGCCATATGGCTGGACAGCTTTTGGTGGATATTTCATGAAAGGTACCAGGTAAATGCGAACCTGCGTTTCTCCCTTGCTTAACTTACTTTCCTACGGGACAAAGTCCCGTTGCTTTAGCACGAGCAACAAAGCCCCTCCCTTCCCAGGAGTCACCTCTGTAGACTCAACCAGTTACCTCCCTACTCAGGCCCCTACCATGTACCTGAACTTCAGCCTTACCGGATGCCCTGCAGCTCCCCTGAGCCTGAACAGACAGTCTCTGCTAAGTAGTGGGTCTTAGAGTAGGGGTGAGAGGAGAATTTAGGACTTCCCGGGCCCGAGTCAGGGGGTTTTCCTCCACTGTAAATGTGGACAGCAGACAAGCAGTTTATACCCCAAAGCATGTGAGGTCAGCTCTCTGGAGAATAAGATTTCTGATGTGAGAGCAACGCTTCACCTGACCTGCAGAGCCACTCCAGGGGTTACCTGGTGAGACCAGGTCTGGTGACACAGCTAACAAAAACTCCTCAGCAAGGATGCTAATGGTTCTCTGCCTATCTCTTGACCTGGCAGCCAAACAAGGAGATCCAGAGCAAACTGTTCGACCGAGTAGCCCGAAATTATGCCTCACTGTTGATGAAAACAGTCCGGTCCCACTATGAAGAGGCGCTCATAAAAGTGAGTGTCGCCTGCTGCTTAGAAAACACTTTTGCTGGCAAGAGAATGCCCCACCCCCCAAACAGGCTTTTCATAAAGAGGTAATAGGTGCTCATTCCCTAGCCACGGAAGCACCCAGCATACATGTGCTGCACAAGATATATGCGGGCAAAACATTCAAGTCTAAAACAATTAAAAAAAAATTAAACATCTTGTAGATTCATGGATAAACCCACCAAAGAAAGTATGAATAGGAGAAAAGTTTACACACACACACACACACACACACACACACACACACACACACACACACGTACACGCACACAGTGGAAATAATAAGCACCCCAGGAGCTGGGGATATAGCTCAGTTATAAAGTGCTTCTCACCGAGCTTGAGGTCCTAGGTTCAATCTCTGGCATCACAGAAAGAGATGGGGAGAGAAGAGAATAGCCCACTAAGCCCGTATAATGGTTCACACCTGTAATTCCAGCTTTCGTTGGGGGGGGTGGGGAGGGCGCTGAGAGACCCTGTCTCGAAACAAAACTGATTCTCCTCTTTGGGGAGATGGTAATAGCAAGGAGCATGTGTATGTTTGTGGATCCATCTCCCTAGCTTGTTACTTCCTTGGCTGTGCTCTGGGCAGAGATCAGAAGCATTGAGCACAGAGGCCTGTGAGGGTGGGGTGGGGCAGGGAGAGGCGGCACGGGGAGGGGCGGGGCTGCTGGCGAAGCAGAACTTGGTACCTGAGGAGCCTCCTGAATGACACTGGCGATGGAGAGGCAGCCCAAGGCAGAGAGGAAGACAGGCTGGTGTTGGGAAAGGGCCTGGTCACAGACCTGTGGCTCTGCCAGGGCCCTTTACTGAGGGGAAGGACAGCGGGGCTGACGCCAAGCTCCGCCCCCTCCCAGAGGCTCCCTTCTCTTCTGAGCAAAGCCCTGTACACCAGCTTCTGCTGCTGCTTCCCCCAGTCCTGGTTCAACACCCACGAGTTCAAGTCGGAAATCTGCAACACCATGAACCTGTGGATTTCAGGTGAGAGAGGAAGGGCCTTCCCGATAACCAGGGAGAGAACTTGGAGCCGGAGGCTGGGTGTGTCTTGGGCTGCCTAGCACTCTCCATCAAGGCAGCTTTCCTGTCTCTCTTTTAACAGTGAAGTCTACACTTGATGTTGCATGCCAGCAACCCCAGTGTTTGAGAGGCTATGGCAGGGTTTTGTGAGTTCAAAGCCAGCCTGAACTTGTGGCAAGACCCTGCGTTAAAAAAATTCCATGAATATAGCAGCCAAGATAAGCTATAAAGAAAGTTAAAGCCAGGCATGGTTCTTGTACTTGAGAAGTAGAAGCGGGAAGGTTGCTATGAATTTGGGACAGCCTGGGTTACATGAGGAATATCAGGCCAACCAGAGTAAATGAGACCCAGCTCAGAACACCAGAGAGGAAGAAGGAGGGAAGGAAGGGATGGAGAGAGAGGGAGGGAGAGATGGAGGGTGAGAATGAGAGAGAGTGAACTGAGCTGCAGTCCAGATTCCCTTTTCCTTGTGGACAGTTCTGAGACATGGCTGCCTGATCTGAGTCTGTGCCCCCCCACATCCGCAGGGAGCAAGGCATCCTCTCCTAGGAAGCCGAGGTATCAGCTTGACCCTGTTAGTTACCAACATGCCATGGGCTGACGGACCCCAGGGCAGCATGACCCACGCGGCCACCACAGCCCACCTCAGGACACACTGTGGCAGCTCCACACACATCCCGGCTATCTTCATCCCTTCCCCCCACTTTCCTACCCCAGCCTAGAGCCTTCCCGAGGTTACCGAATGCTGCTATTTATTGTGAGGTTGTCGTTGACTAGATACTGTGAGAAACAGGCAATTACATTTCCTATTGGGGGCAGAAGGATGGCAGGGTCTCTTCCTCATAAGGGGCTTTGCCAGCACTGCTAAGCTTTACAGGTTCAGTAAGGAAGCACAGGTCACAGGGAGGAGGGGCGTGCTTTGGGGGACCCCTGTGCAGGCTTCCTAGCGCTCGCTGCCTCCTTCCCACAGGAGTCACATGGATCCCATTTTTCTACCTGCCAAGGAGAGGCAGTTACTGCTGTGTGGTGTCTCCTCCCAGGGGAAGGACATCAGAGATTCAGTGGCCAAGGTTTTTCATTCAGGGTCATCATGGAGACACCTCTGTCCATCCAGTAGCACAGTTCTGGAAGGCAGGTGTTCAGCTAAGCCACACTGTATACGGACAGCCCAGGAACAATAGCTCACTCATTAGACATCGTCTTCTGTCGGTGTAAGGAACTATTTGCCGGCTGTGTTTCCAGACTCCAGCGAAGACCCAGCCTTGCAAGCCGTTCTAAGACCAGCAGCCTTGGGCCTGCTGTGTTAGCTCTTCACTGCACACCCATTTCAGCCCCTCTGACCATGGAGTTCCAGGGCAAACAGCCGAGTGTCATGTTTTATTTGGATCCAGGCTTATTTCTCTCCAAAGCTAGGTCTTGGGTCACTGGGCACCCTGCCTGCCTCTCATTTCCCACTCTCTTCCTGCTGCTCCTCCTCCCTGTAGCAGTTTTTGCTTAACCAATCACCAGAAATAAACCTCCTGCCCCCTCACACTTCCCATTGGCGGCAGCGGCATTGCACAGTGGCTCAGCCTTCTCCAGTGACCCTTGGAAGGCGTCATTTCCGGTGTGAACTTAGCATGGCGGCGTTTTGAAGCAGCCTTGGCTGAGCACTTATTTACTGCTGCCAAGTCCAGCCGGAGGCAGTGGGGGGCGGCGACTTGACTGCCTGATCCTGGGGAGGGGGACTCATGATCCAGCAAGAACAAGGGGAGGCCAGTACAGAGCCCAACCTGGGCCACCGCAGCACCTTCATTAGCCCTTGTCACAGAGTCACACACCCAGGCACTAGAGGATGGCGAGCCAGGCGGCATTGTCCCTATGATGCAGGTGAGGAAAAAAAAAAAACAAAAAAAAAAACAACCTCTAGAGAGGAAGTGGCAAGGCCAGGACAATGCCAGGAGCAGATCTCAGGCTCCCCGGGACAAGAAGGAGGCTCAAGGCCCCTGGCTCCCCTCGTCCCGCTCCATTCTCCTTGGCGGAAGTGTCCACCACCACTCTTGGTTTCTTTTAGGGACGTATCCTTGCCCACAGAGCTATAACAACTGGGACTACTCAGAACTGGATCCAGAGAGGTTCCGGAGAGAAGAATTACTACATCGCAGCAGTCGACTTATAAAGGGTAAGCTCCCAGCTGTGGCCCTGTCTCTTGTGGCCCCTGACACAACCAGCCACCACATAGCTGAGGCACGGGCACCAGGGCATTGATGTTCCCACCAGGTTATCGCTCAGACTTTCAAACTGGCCACCCAAATGAATACAACATTCAGCGCTTATGGTTTGCTAATGAGGAGTAGAAGCTTGCATTCGGTGGAAAGGCTGGGGACACCCAGTTCTGGTGAAGGAATTACCTAGCATGCACAAGAATTCAATCCCCAGAGCTATATGCAGACAAACAAATCTACCCTCTTGTCTCTTTCCTATACTATGTCAGGTCTGGTATCTTCTATAAGGCCTGTGGGTTCTATACTCTAACCAGTCTATATGTTCTAGTATACTCTCTCTAGGAGGCCTGTGTGTTCTATACTCTGTCCAGTCTGTATGTTCTAGTATCCTCTATGAAGTCTGCGTGTTCTATGCTGTCCAGACTGTATGTTGTACTGCACAAGATGAGAAGTTAGTTAATAGGAGCCGAGGAGTTTAGTGGCGCCTGGGACTTGCTGGAATCTCTGTGCACCATTTCATCTTCATGACAACCAATCACAGGAGCCCCACATGCATATCACAGACGAGGAGGAGCTTTCACAACACCGACCAGGTCATGCCATAGACATGTCTTGGTGGCACATAGCTCTAATTCCAGCAGTTGGGAGGCAGAGACAAGAGGCCTTCTTCAAATTTGAAGCCGGCTTGGTCTATTAAGGAACAGAAAATTCTCCTGCCCACGTGCCAACCACAATGCCCGTACTCTATCTACAGCTGGCACTGATGTTTCACTATGGTGGCCAGTTTGAGAGTCTGTGACAAGTCATGTCAGGCCACGGACTCCTGTGGGAGCCAGGCCCTGTGCTGATGGTATCACTGGGCACGTAAGCCTCGCAGGGCTAGGGAGGCACTTCAGCATGTGGGTAGCTCCCGCCTTGGGTGGAGACAGGGGACAGAGGCCACAGGGAGCAGTGCCCGGACAGCCCCTGTTACTGACTGTTCGGAATGCCCACACCGAGATTTGAAGGCAAATGTTTCAGAGAAGCAGAGGCTGTGGAGCTTAAGTCAGTCAGACCCAGCAGCTGACTAAGGCCCACACCACCTGCAGCCAGAGGGCAGCTCAAGTCCCATCTTGGGGCTGCAAGGAAGAGCCTGCCTGTACCCCTTTGCACAGAGCAGGCTGCAGAGTCGCTCTAGAAATTGTAACAGCCACCTCTCTCAGAACCAGACCCTTCCAGCTGTCACTGTTCTAAGCAAACAGATGTGGTTTTTCTTAGTCAACAGATATACACAGGGAATTTTTTTTTTTTTTTTTTTTGGTAAGGAGAAAAAAAAATGAAAGAAACCAGTCCTTACATTGTCTTCATTCCTGCCTTCAAGGATTAGCTATGTTCAATTGTTTTTTGATGAATTGTAAGTTTAACAGCTTGTCATATGATAGTTTTTTTTTTTTTTTTTTTTTAATCTTTTGGTGGTTTCAGGGCTCAAACCCAGAGCCTTGTGTAATCCTGAGCTCTAACACTGCACCACCCCAGGCCTAGATTTTCTTTTACTTTATTTTATTTAATTAAAAATTTTTTTAGATTTAGTTTGTGTGTGTGAATATTTTGCCTACATGTATGTCTGTGTACCACTAGAGTGTGCTTGGTGCCCACAGAGGTCTGAAGAGTGTCTGTGAGCACCATGTGGGTGCTGATAATGAACCCAGGTCCTCTGTAAGAGCAGGATGTGCTCTAACCACTGGACCATCTCTTTCACCCTGGATTTATTTTTTTTTTTTTTTAATCCAGCCAAACCTTCTGGCACACACTTCTAATCCCAGCACTTGGGAAGCTGAGGCAAGAGTATTGCAAACTAGAGGCCAGCCTGGCCTACACAGAGAGTTCAGGGCCAGCTAGATAGTAAGGCCCTGTTTAAAAAGCAAACAAACACAACAAGTTTAGGAGGAGCAGGAGGCCGGGTGTAGTGGGGCACGCCTTTAACCTCAGCACTTTGGAGACAGAGGCAGATGGATCTTTGTGAGTTCGAGGCCAGCCTAGTTATAACCAGAGTTATATAATAGAGAGAGAGAGAAACCCTGTCTCAAAAGAAAAACAAAAGCAAAACCAAAAAGAAACATTTTATCTGGTACTTACTTGGTTCAGTTTTGTAGGATTCTAGGTGGTTAGTTTTCTGTGAAGCCACTGTGGGTTGTTTTCCTCTGCCCTGTGCCCGGAACATGGGGTCTTGTAGACTTTATTCTTTGGCTAGCTTATCAGCAAGGCCTGTGCTTGCCTGGGGCCACTTCCGGTTCCCATTCTGCTCCTGACGGTGCTTCTGAAAGGATTGTCTCAGCGTTCCCATAGTCTCAGATGCAGTGGCCAGACACCACAGAGCAGCATTTCTCTCTCCTAGGAAGAGAGCGCTCCACTTGTAGGAAAAATTCCAACCAGAAGACAGAACAGAACAGGAGCAAGAGAATCCATAGCGGTCAGGTAAGTGGGGAGCACAGACATGGGCCCTGGATTCCATAGTGCCCTGAAGACGCTACAACCCTAGGTTTCCTGGAGTCTCTGTGTGGCGTTCTGTGGGAGGCACATTCCTGTGCTCATGCTCTGTTCTACCCCGTTTTCTCAGAGAGGTGCTCGATAGGCCCCAAATTATCCACACGTGAGAGGAACAGCTCCTGAAAAACCACAAAATGACAAGACAGGAGTGAGTGGATCTAGCCTTTGAGTCCAGGCTGAGGCCCAGATATGCAGGCTCAGGGTTCCAGGCTAACATTTGGCTCTCAGTTTTTCTATCTCTGTCTTCTTCCCCTCTCCCTCTTCCTCTCTCCGCTGCCTCACATCCCCTCCCGAGAGTTGAATCCAGACCATGCTAGGCAAGCACTCCACTACTGCGCCTAGCCTGATGCCCTTCACTCTCACGCTCAGAGACGCTTCTCTGGGTCTGTGGGATGCTCCTTATGAAGCAAGCCCAATCCCCTTTCTTTCTGAGCATTCCTGTGGCCCAGCCATCACTCTGATCATGGCCACGTCCACGCTAATCTTGGAGCCCTAGGTCACATGCCTTTTCTGATGCTTGAGTGCCCACAGCCAACACCACACACAGCCTGGTGCTGTGTTAGATGGCACGTCCCTGGCTGGGAGCAAGATCCGTGTGTTTTCCCTGGAGCACTCAGCATGGAGAGGTCTCAGCACAGAGCTGATGCAGTCCTCCTCTATGTGTCTCTTATAACAGCTTGCCATTCTTGTTTTGTTTTGTTTTTGTTTTTCGAGACAGGGTTTCACTTTGAAGCCCTGGATGTCCTGGAACCAGGACACCACTCTGTAGTCAAGGCTGCCCTGAACTCACAGAAATCCTCCTGCTTCTGCCTTCCGAGTGCTGGGATTAAAGGCAGGCGCCACCACCGCCTGGGGATGACCTGCCATCCTTACTGAGGGTTTCTTTGCTGGTTGGAGTCCTCCCTCTGTTAGGATGTAAACTACACAAGGGAGGGCCTGTCTCCTGTCACTGTCTGAACTCCTTCATTTTCAAAGTTAGGTCTGCCATCGAGAGGGCACTCCATAGCTCTCAGGACTTCATAATGATCACCTCTGTAAGCTCCGAGCTCTTTTTAGCATGGGACGGAGCTCTATAAATATCACTCCTGCCCCAAGCACAGACAGAACGGCATTTCTGAGGGCCAACTGTCCCTCAGAGATCAGCACCAAAATATTATTCAGTGTTTGGGTGCTCCCATCACAGCACCCAAAACAAATAGGTCTCTTTGTACTGAAACACAGAAAGCCTTCTGGCATTTATTGCAAGAACCCAGCTGAGAGATCCCATCTTCTGTCCTGGAAATAGAAACAATCAAAAAGTGGAACCTTGGAAGCAGCTGAAATGTAAATGGCAAACCAGGACAGAGGGAGAATTTGGATGTGCTGGGCTAGAGCCTCTTGCCATGAACAGACAGTTTCCCATCTGCTCAGTGAATGCAGCTGGCTGCAGTTAAAACATGAATGGCAGCGGGAGCAGACTATCAGAGAGCTAAGAATTCAGGTCACTGAACCACTATTTCTCTGAGACCCACCTGCCATCTGCCCTTGTTTCACACACGCATTGAGGACTTGTAATAGATCTCCTGTGGCTCAGGCATAGGCCAGAGCTCCCAGGAGCCTGTCAGAGACTCAGTCAAGTCTTCTGTTCCTTTAATGGGTTTAAAGAAGATGGTGGAAGGCAGCTTCTATAAAGAGGAATTTGAGTCGGAAGCTGGCCCTGCTGACAAACTACTTGGCATATAAGCATGAAGACTTGACTTCAGTCTCCAGAACCCATGTTAAAAGAGAGAGAGAGAGAGAGAGAGAGAGAGAGGAGAGAGAGAGGGGCAGAGGCTGCCAGATCCCTGACCGGGGATCTCTGGCCCAGTCAGTTTAGTCTGATCATTGTCTTCCAGGCCACTGACAGGTCCTATATCAAAGACAGTGTTCTTGGGGACTGGCTGTCCTGGCTGTTCTCTGTGTCCTTCAGGAAGCCCTGTCAGCAATCCTCCTGGACAGCAGAGTCTGTAGTGGCAGTTCCCCTTGTTTATTCTGTCTTGATGCCTCGGGCAGGTGTGGTGCATAGGAAGGGTTGGAGAGAGGACAGCAGTGTGAGGCTATTACCCTGGGATGTGGAGAGGAAGATGGCACACCTCAAGTGGCACTCTCAGAAGGTGCCGTGTGAGCTGAGACCCAAAGGAGCTGTCTTAGTTAGGGCTTTATTGCTGTGAAAAGACATCATGACCGTGGCAACTCTCAAAGGACAACATTTCACTGGTGCTGGCTTACAGCTTCCAGAGGCTTAGTCCATTATTGTCATGGCGGGAAGCCTGGCAGCCTGCAGGCAGACATGGTGCTGGAGATGGAGCTGGGCGTTCTGGCAGCAGGAGACTGTGCCACAACTGGGTATAGCTTGAGCAAGAGGAGACCTCAAAGCCCGCCCCCACAGTGACACACTTCCTTCAATAAGGCCACACCTCCTAATAGTGTCACTCCCTATGGGCCAAGCATTCAAACACATGGGTCTACTGGGACCATACCTATTCATTGGGAGAATGAATGTGAGCCACTTTTAGAAAGCAAGAACAGCATGTATGAAAGCACTGAGGAAAGGAAGGAAGGAGAAAAGGAAGGAAAGAAAGAAAAAGGGAAGGAAGGGAGGAGAGAGGGAAGGAGGGAGGGAAAGGAAAGTTAGAAAGAAAAAGCAACAGAGCTACTCAGGGAACAAAGAGGAAGGTGGGTGATACGAAACTTCGTAAGTGAGGGAAACTGAGGCAGGAGTTAGGGCTGGGGACATGGACTGGCCAGTTCTCAGAAATGGAAGGCCATACCAGATTTTCATTGTCCGTTCATGTATTAATGAGCGGCTGGGCCACTTCCATTTGCCTCTGTAGTAAGAGCAGCCGTAAAGATGTTTGTGCGGCTGGTGTGTGTGTGTGTGTGTGTGCAGTTGTCTGGGTTTCAGGCCAGAAGCGAAGGTCATGTGGCAGTTTTGTTTTACTTTTAAAGGTTTATTTATTTATTTAGTGGCGCCTATCTGCATGTACACCTGCACGCCAGAAGAGGGCACCAGATCCCATTATAGATGGTTGTGAGCCACCGTGTGGTTGCCAGGAATTAAAGTCAGGACCTCTGATTTTCATAAAAGCCTTATTAACTTGTACCCCACATCAGGAGTAGTTCAGGACTCCTCTCCCTCAATTCTCTCCATCCATTTGCTGTCACACTGAGAACATTTTTGTTGTACAAGGACATGACCACAAAGAAAGGTATTTCCTTGACTCCCCTACATCTACCCATGGACGTGTGACTACGGTTGGTCGAGTCAGTGAGGTCCATGGATGCAGTATGTGGCAGTGTATGGGACCCTTCCTTCCTTCAAAAAGCCTTGTATGGCTGCTTCCCAGTTTCCCTTCCTAACCAGCTGCCTGGAGTATGAATGTGGTGACCGGTGCTCTGGCTGCCATCTTGCTCCCTGAGGAAAATGTCCTTGAGGGTGGGAGAAGTGCAGAGTTCAGAGCCTTAGCACAGCAGGGCACACCACATAAACTCAGGGCTGCTTGTCTCCGGATATGTCTGTGGGAGAGCAGGTTCTATGTGCTTTGAGCCACTGTTACCTCAGTGTCCTGCTAATCTGGGAGGGCTTCGAGGCAAGGAGTGGGTTTCAGGGATTGCCCAGCACCAGATACCATAGTAGTGGCTCAAAGAAATGCTAATGAAGTCCACAAACTGACAAACCGCTTAGAGATGACCGCAGCGGGGTTGGAGCACTCCCGGAAGCCACAGCGTGCACTGCATTGGCAGTTGCCTTCACCTTCAAGAAACCCCAGGTAGCACAGACGTTCCGTTACTTCTCCAGATCCCTAGCGGATGAGTGACACCCATTGCTGCCTGGGCCCCCACTCCACATCACTCCTTCTCTTTGCTAGGGCCAGAGAGCTCTTTTCAGATGCGTCCCTTTACTGAGAATGATGGGATATAGCTAAGGTGCAAGTCTTTGTATCATTCAAGTTTTGCTAACTTTATTCTTTACAAAACAACAACAACAAAACCAAAACATATGCTCCCCTGAAGTCTTCTGGCTTTCCTATAACCCACGAGAGAGGCTTTTTTCTGAAGCAGGCCACAGAGGAAAGTATTCGGTCCCAACACACCATGAAAGGTAAGCTGCTGCGGAGGGCAGGGCTGGTTTTGTCTCAGTTACTAACTATCCCCAAAGCTCTATGGATTCATCTGAATTGCTTTGCCCTTGGGTTTGACCCAGCCCGTGGCATCAAGCAATACCGAGAGCAGAGTGCACCTCAATGTACAAGACATTCCCCGTGACCAAGAGCCCCCTGTGCCAGTGTCAGGGCTCCCAACCCTGCTCCTTCTGTCAGCACTATGGGATGCGGTTGCGCATTGCCATCCTTAACAGCCCGAGGAGTTTCCACTAGAGTCCTGGGGACCTTTGCTTAGTCCAAACTAATGTTCATAGTTGCCACGCTGAAAAGAATTCCTGGGCCCATCAGAATAGCAAAGCAGAGATGGGGATTTGTCTTAAAGGTACGCGCACACACGTATATGGTTGTTCTATTTTTATTGGGGGGGCGTGTGTGAGACATATGTGCAGATGCCCCCAGAGGCTCAGAAGACAGCATCAGATCCCCTGGAGCCAGAGCTCCCGCAGTTGTGAGCCACTGTAAAATGGCGCTAGGAACCAAGCTCTGGTCCTGTGGAACAGAAGCGGATACTCCTAACCACTGAGTCATCTCTCCAGCCATTGACGATATTTCAAAATAGGTTTCAGGAGAACAGAGGGACTCAGAAGAAGTGAAGTACACTGGGGAGCATGAGTGTAGGCTTCTCAAAGAGGAGTTGTTCCCTATCGTCTAGGCAACAGTCATCTGTAAGATTTTTGGTGGGGTTTAAGGCTACTCTCTTATCAGTGGATGGTCCTTGAGGGACACAGGAATACCGTTGATAGCATGAAAGTCCAGCCCACAGGGAATAAGGAGATAGGATTTTACAAATTCTTCTTCTTCCTTCCTTGCCGTGTAGACTAGGCTGGCCTCAGACTCATGGACTTCCGCTTATTCCGACTCCCAAGTACTGGGCTTAGTCATGTGCCACACTTGGCAAGGATATGTTCCCCATAAACAAAGTTAAGTTTCGTCAAGATTCCATGCCACGTCTAGACAAGGGACTGAGGCTCTGTCCAGGGGCCTACACATTCAGGCCTTAGCTGCAATCTTAACATACAGTGGCGGCATCTGAAAGGGGCTATCAGCCTTTCCAGCAGATGTGGTTAATTGTGCTGGCTTTCTTGCTTCTTAGCTGGTGAGATGTCAGTCAGACTTCGGGGTTATCGGGCTCCTCTCTCTTCTCATGTTCACATAATGCCTTGTCTTTCTATCCTACTTCAGTTTTACAGCTTTGAAACACATATATATTTCAAGATTTACTTATTGTTTTATGCATGTGGGTGTTTTGCCTGCGTGTATGCATGTGCAAACGTGTGGGTGCCTGGTACCCAGACAGGCCAGAAGAGGGCACCAGATCCCCTGGAGCTGGAGTGAAAGGTGGTTGCGAGCTTCTGGGTGTGGATGCTGGGAACTGAACTCTGGTCCTCTGGAAGAGCAACATGCGCCCTTAACCTGTGAACCATCTCTCCAGCCTAAGACGTCCTTCTTTTCTGCTACTGGGGACTGAACCTGTGATCTCGGGCATGTTAGTCAAGCTCTCTGCCACTGGGCTATATCCCTGTCCTAGACTAATGGTACTTTTCCTCTTGCTGTGTTGGTGATTTTGTTCCATTGTTCCCTGCCTTCCAGTGCTACCATGGAGAGCTCAGCAGCCATTCTAGCGACCTTTTGGGAATGACCTATCGTGGTTTTGCTTATCTTCACAGCCATTCTCTGCTAACCTCCTGCATGAAAGCCATCGTTGTGTGCAGAAGCGGCAATGACTTTGCTGCTGTTCTGCAGCCCCAACAACCTATTCTGTTGCCGCTGGCATTTCAGAACCTTTGGGTCTTTGACGATGCACCATTTCCCATAATTTAATCATGGCACCCGAGTTGCTGTGACACTGTTTATGTGTCTTTTTTTTTTTTTTTTCCTCTCAGTAAACTAGGAGGTCCTTGAAGATGATCTATTTCTAGCACCCAGCATGAGCCTAGTACAGAATAGATAGTCAGTGAGTATTTGTGGCACGGAACAAAGGATGGACAGATGGGCCAACATGGCCTATGGCTGTGTGTCTGGCTAAGAAGCAAGTGGAGTCATCTGGTTCCCCTGTAGCTCCAGAGGACTGCTACCTTGCACAGATCCCAAAACACTAGGGCTTTTTTTCCCCCCTCTAGCAGGAAGCTGAGACCCACCCCAAACTCTTTCTTTCCCCTGGGAAAATACTCACGATCACCTTTTGGTTGTATCACCTTGACAGAACACTTCATGGCATCCCCAACCTCCAGAAAAGCCACACAGCAAGTCAAGAGGATCTCCGAAACCAGAGCGTGCCTGAGTTTGTATCTGAAAGCGGTGAGCACACACAATCGGAAATGTAGAGTCTGCTTTATTGTCTTTAATTGTGTGTGTTCTTGTGTGCCTGTGAGTGTGTGCATGTGCCTGCATGTGAGCGTGTATGTATGTATGTATGTATGTACATGTGTATGCATGTGAGTGTACGTGTGTGTGTGTGTGTGGGTGTGTGTGTGTGTGTGTGTGTGTGCAGGTACCCTCAGGGGCCAGAAGGTGTCTGATCCCCTGGAGCTGGAGTTATAGGCTGTTGTGAGTCACCTCACGGGGAACCGAACTCCCAAACTCAGACCTTCTGGAAGGGCAGGAAACACTCTTGACTGCTGAATGTCTGTGACTTAAGAGAAGAGGCGATTTAAAGGAGGCATGGCTAGAATAGCTTCATCTTACGCAGGGTCAGGTAAGAGCTGGGGTGTTTCTGATACAGGCCAGCGCTCCTCAGGAAGATTCCTAGGTTAAGAAGACACCATGAGCTGGGCTGTGGTGGCGCACACCTTTAATCCTAGCACTCCAGACACAGAGGCAGACGGAGCTCTGTGAGCTTGAGGCCAGCCTGGCCTACTTACAGAATGAGTTCTGGGACAGCCAGAGAAACCCGTCTCAAAAAAACAAAAAATGAAAAATCAAAACAAAAGTGTGATCTGTGTTTAAATTTCCTGCTGGAGCCAGGTGTGGTAGCTCACACCTGTAATCCCCCAGCACTTAGGAGACTGACTGGGGAGGATTGCTAAGTACTCTAGGCCAGCCTGAACTATATCATGAGTTCTAGGCTATCCTGGGCTACAAAGTTAGACTTTGTTCTCTGAAGGCTTAAATACGTATTTTTTTTTCCTGCTTTAAACTCAGACCCCCATGTGTAGCAGGAAGAGAGGTGTGGGCCTGCTTCCTTCTCCCTGTTACAGGAATAAATATGCCTTCTCAGTGCGTTCAGATGTCAGTACTGCCCTCTCCCTTCTAGACCAGCGGTTCTCAACCTGTGGGTCATGACCCTTTTGGGAGGGTCAAACAACCCTTTCACAGGGGTCACCTATCAGATGTCCTGCATATCAGATGTTTACTTTACAATTCGTAACAGTAGCGAAACTACAGTTATGAAGTAGCAATGATAATAATTTTATGGTTGGGGGTCACCACAACATGAGGAACTGTACTCAGGGGTCCAGCGTGAGGAAGGATGAGAGCCACGGGCCCAGCTCAGCATCTCTGGTCCCTGGTTGCTAACAGCTGCTGGATGTGCCCCATGGGGAGAAGGAAAGGCGTGGCACAAGCATGGCCTCACCTGTGGTTTGTCGGGGTGGGAGGAGTTAGACTGGAGAGTGACAGGCTCGGCCGGCCGGGGATGACCAGTGGGGCAGCTGAGAACCCAGGGAGCTATGGGAAGAAGTGCTGAAACAAATTGGTTCAGCCGAAAGGTGTTGGTGGATACTATGGCAAAGAGGCAGGCGGCGCCATCGCCTTAAGAAACCCGGCATTTCCGTACCAGGATGTGGGGTGGCGGGGCACTTGCCTGCTCTGGTAAGGGCTGATCACCAGAGGAGAGCAAGAACTGGGGAGATCTGTGGCCACCAATCCCTGGCCTCCCAGGTGCTGGCAGCGTGCACCTCTCAGCAACTTCTTAACGGCCTACTTACTAGAATGGCAATTTTGCCCTGGGGGGGGGGGGGGGGGGAGAATTCAGATTTTGTTAAATTATGTATTTGTGTGCGTGTCTATTGTTTTGTCTCGTGTGTACAAGCGTATGTGGAGGGAAAACTTACAGAAATGGGATTGCTGGAGCAAAATACACACCTTTAGATTGTTCCCCAAGAAAACAGTAGTTAGGATTCACTTGTCCCTGTGACTAGGCTGTGCATCGTACAATGGTTTCTTGCCGTCCTGATGAGGGGAATCAGCTATTTGTTACTGCAATAGACCACACATAAAACCTTTCCTTTGGTTTGGCCATTCCCTGAGGAGGAGCTTAAAGCTGGAGTCACAGTGACTGGGTCAGAGGCAGGGGCACCATAACACGGTGTGTCAGTTACCTTTCTGTGGTAAGACAGCTGGCTAAGAACAACTCAAGGGCAAGGGGTTTGTTTGGGTTCATGGTACAGACCATGAAGGCGGGGCAGCGAAGGCAGCTGGTCACGTCTCCGCACTGAGGGAGCAAAGAGCCGTGTCCTATGCTAGCTCTGAGCTCACTTTCTCCAAGTCACACAGGATCCCTACTCAAGGACGTCCCCCCCACCCCCAGTCAGATGGATTTCCCACTTCAGTCAAGATAACCCCTCACAAATCTGTCCAGAAACTAGATAATTCCTCACGTTTGTGTTCGGAGACTTGTCCTCCGAGTGACTCTACTTCCTGTCAAATTAACCTTCCCCATCCCATGTGACAATATCCTTTTTCTCTCCCCCCCCCCTCCAGTCCCACCCTGCCTGCAAAAACCCCAAGCTGATTTCAAACCAGTTCAACCTGTATGGGGAGAGTCCGCTAATCGTGTACTTCTTCCTCAACTACGCCGAGCTGAGGAAGCGTGGCCAAGACGTGCTGGTCAGCAGGAGAGAAAAGACCGAAATGATCCCATATCCTTGCCCTGTTTGCAGAAGCAGCGTGTGAGGGGATGTATCCAGGCTCTGGTACAGAGCCTGGCACACAGTGCGTACTTGGTAGGAGCAGCCATGGTATGTACCTCAGGGATAGAGTCTTGCTCCAATACTTAGGTGAGCCTCAAGTCCAGGCCAGGACACCCTGAGCATGTCGAATTTCCCCACGGACAAAGTCACCTTTTTCTCATCTTCCAGCATGGAACTTAGGTACCATAGTCTCCCTGATGTTCACTGGCCCAAGAGCGTGGGACCATCAGCTTTAGTATCTGTGTGTGAGTTTCATCTGACCTCCTCCTCACACGCTCCTCCCCGGCTCCTGTTTGGAGTTGGTATAAAGCTCAGCTCTTGGGGAACAGGTGCAGCATGGGTTGGTATCCTGAGCCTTAGCAACAACACTTTGGGGTCAGAACATGAGTTCTACTGGGAATCAATTTGCTCTGTTTTCCTAAATAGCCCAGGCTCTGAAACTAAGGCTACCTACCCCTAGCCAGCCAAGTGACTTTGGGGACATTCCACTTTCTCAGTGGGCATCATTTATTTAATCTGTAAAACCAAAATAAGGGTTCCCACCTCAGGGGTGCTTTTTGTTTGTGTGTGTATTTTTATTGTTGTCTGGGGTCTTTGTTGTTTATTTGTTTGTCCTACTGTGTAGCCCTGGCTAGCCTGGAACTCACTAGGCAGATCAGGCTGGTCTTGTATTCACAGAGCTCCAACTTCCTCTGTCTCCTGAGTGTTGAGATTTAAGACTTGTGTCACCATGCCCAGCTTCAGGGGTGGTTTCACAGATTGATTCCCAGTGTGGTAGAGGAAAAATTGCCCAGCACACTGGTACTCAGTGGCTTTTGCTGGCTCGTGGGCAGCAAGGGCACCAGGAGGCCTTTTCCTCTGCTGCCCTTAGAGCTTCACATCACATCCCAGACACATCACAGGTGTCTGAAGGAGGACCAGCTGCCACTAGGCAGCACAGTCCAAAATGTCCCCAGCATCACCCTGTTCTTTAGGTCACTGTGGTTCTGGAGACAGCCCCGCAAGATCCCAAAGTGAAGATGGTCCTACCAAGTAAGGTGACTGAATGGTGTATAGCGGGCACTGTATGAAGAGCTGGTCTCCATCCTCTCAGGTGGCAGTTCTGATGCTGCACCCCTTTAACACCGTTCCCCACGTCCATAACTGTAATTTTGCTACTGTTATGAATCGTAATGTAAACGTCTGTGTTTTCTGGTGGTCTTATTAGGTGACCCCTGTGAAAGGGTCATTTGACTTCTTACTCCTCCAGAGGAGTCAAGAGAGTATCTCTCTTTTTTAAAATTTTATTTATTTACTACGGATACAATATCTGCACGTGTGCCCTCATAGCAGAAGAGGGCACCAGATCTCACTATAGATGGTTGTGAGCCACCATGTGTTTGCTGGGAATTGAACTCAGGACCTCTGGAAGAGCAGCCAGTGCTCTCAACCTCTGAGCCATCTCTCCAGCCCCTGAGTATCTCTTCTTTTGAGGGAGGTTCTTGAGATAGGATCTTGTTATCACTGAGGCCAGTCTCAAACTCTGGACAATGGCTGCCTCCACCTAGTGAGTGCTGAGATCGTAGGCGTGAGTCACCACGCCTGGTTTGTAGTCTCTCTCATGGATAAACGGAGGCACAGAGGGTGACAGTGGCAGTCCTGCGGCCTGCCACAAATGCCGCTGAGAGTGTCACCAAGGATGGGGGTGGAGCAGAGGAGAAAGGTGTTTGTTGTTTGGTTGTTTTGGAGTTTTGAAACTCTCGATTTGTCTCATGCAGCTCTGGCTGGCCTAGAACTCCCTGTGTCCTTGAATTTGATCCTCCTAATTCCATTTCCCAAATGCTGGGATTACAGTATTACAGTGTTCCATCACCACACCTGGCTGAAAGAGAGCCCTTTTCGGTAGTAAGCCTGAAACGGACTGAGTGTACCTGTAATGCCAACAGCTCAGGAGGACAAGGCAGGAAGCGAACTATGAACTTGAGACTGCATAGCCAGATCTTGTCTCAAAAAAACAAAAACAAAAACAAAACAAACAAACAAACAAACAACATCCCTAGCCAGGCTTGATGGTGCACACGTTAAATCCCAGCACTCAGCAGGTAGAGGAAGGTAGGTCTCTGTGAGTTCCAGGCCAACCAGGTCTACATAGTAAGACTGTCCCAAAAAACAAAAACCGGGTACGGTGGCACATGCTTGTAATCCCAGCACTCAGGGAAGCAGAGGCAGGCGGATTGCTGTGTGTTCCAGGCCAGCCTGATCTACAAAGTCCAGGACAGCAGAGGCTACACAGAGAACCCCTGTCTTGAAAGACAAAACAACAAAGACAAAAACAAAGAGAACAAAAAACTCAACACAGAAAAGAAATTTCTCATGCCCACAAGGAGAGAGTTGTTGGAGCCCCTTCCGTCTTGTCACTGTGGTGACAGACTCCAAGCCCAGACTCTCAAACTGGGCTCAGAACTAAGCTTGTGGCTGTGGCTACACTCATCTGTAGAATGCGGTGATGTTGGGAAGCCTATCTCTGTCCTTCAGACAGCCTTAGGAAGTCTTTTCCGGCTCCCTACCATGGACAAAGCCAAAGGGGGCTTTATGACAAGGTGGACACTGGCTGGCCACAGAAACGATGACCTTTCTTCACTACCAGGCTGGCCATAGCCAGTCTCAGAGACCACTGCTTGTGTGGATTTTGGAGTACCTCTTCCAGAACCCCAGAGCAGCAAAATAGTAGTCTTTGTGCGGTCCCCATTCTCCTTTTCCTTCCCCACGCCCAAGGCCCAGCCGCTAACAGTGCAGGGGCAGCACAGTGTTCCTTTCCTTGACAGCAGAATGCACTGAGTCCGCCCCGACCTATGCTGACATCATCCACCAGGTTATGGAGAACATGGAGAGGCGGAAGAGAAAGCTCAGGGAGCTGGACCGCCTGCACTGGAATGAATGGGTCTATTTTAAAAACTACCTAAAGGAGCTGAAGGAAAACTGTGCGAGGTGGGTGTTGAGGGTATCTGATCTCACTGCCCCGAGACTGTGTACCGGGAAAACCTGTTTCTGGTTGTGGTATGGCTCCGGCACGTACCTTTAATCCAAGAGATTTCTTTTCTTTGTGTGTGTGTGGGGGGGTGTTTCAAGACAGTGTTTCTCTATGTAGCCTTGGCTGTCCCTGGACTCACTTTGTAGACCAGGCTGGCCTTGAACTCACAGAGAGCCGCCTACCTCTGCCTCCCAGGCTGCTAGGATTACAGGGGTGTGCCACTGCGCCTGGCTTAATCCAAGAGGTTTCAGAAAAACAGGATTAAATAAAGTGAACCATAGGCCAAGAGGCGGAGCAAGCAACCAGATTGACATTGAGTAAATAATTGGAAACACTGGAAAAACCATAGAGAATGAGAGGAAGTCTGGAGAATGGATAGGGAGATGGACAGGAAGTAGAAAGTAGGGACAAAGAGTTTTTAGGGTTTTTAAGACAACGTGAAAGAGAAGGGGCTTTTTCCTTCTGGGATGTCAGCTGAGTAGGAAGGTCAGCTGGGTGCTTTCTCTGCCTCTAGTAAGCTTCTCCCTAGCATCTGGCTCCTGATGCTGGAAAAAAAAAAAAAATCAAACGTTTGGGATTTTGTTTAAAAAACAATAGGTAGGAGGGCATGGGCACAGAGCCACTCTTGGACACCCACTGCCGAGTCAGCAGGATTTAGCTAGCGTGGGGCGGGGGCTGCCAGCTTGCTCGCTACCCTCACTGAGCACAGCCAGCTTTTCTGGGGCCAGATTAGAAACAGCTTCGGGCAGTAGTGGTGCTCACCTTTAATCTCAGCAGTCAGAAGGCAGAGGCAGGCAGATCTCTTGTGAGTTCAAGTCCAGTCTGGTCTACAAAGTTAGTTCTAGGAAAGCCAGGGATACACAAAAAAACCCTGTCTCTAAAAAACCAAAAAGAAAAAGAAAGAAGGTAGGAAGGAAGGAAGGAAGGAAGGAAGGAAGGAAGGAAGGAAGGAAGG